CCAGGAGTAAAAAACTCACCAAAGGGTCAAGTAAGACTCCATCATGAATCTGGATACAATCAGGAAATGGTTCAAGGATGATAAATCTATAACCAGTCGCGAATCTCCTATCTTTTTTGGGTATAATGAACACATGGGAGGAAAAACCCGGCTGAGAAGGTTCTCAAATTTCTATGGCCTCTTTCGTAAGTAAGTCCCGAACCACCTTCTGTAGATGTGGACAAGAAACGAGATTCCTTGGTGGGGGAAGGCAATGGGGAGGTGAATGGAGGGAAGGGCCAGACCCTCTGAAAGAAGCTGTAGGACCCATGGATCTATCCTATATTCGGGGGGGTGGGGTGGGGGGGTGGATAGGCTGTCCAAATTCTCGTCTTCCCTGTCAGACACTCCAGAAGCAGGCATGACAGGACATTCCTTGTGTGGATGTGAAGGTTGCATGAACATTTCTTGTTGAATAATTGCCATCACGTCCTTGGCTGATAATTGAGTACTCAACCCAGTAGTAGTCAGAAAACCTGCAGCATCAGTAACAGCTGTGGTAGTTGTAACTACCTGAAACTGTGAGCACATAGTGACAATTCCAAATGTGTAAAAAATATTAAAAAGTAAGAAATGTTGGAAAAGCAACCTTTAACAATTCAAAAAAGTGAAAAAGTAAAGAAAATCTAAGTTTGTAGTATAAAGGAAAAAATCGGCAAATTTGCGAGGAAAAATAAGCACATCTGTACTGTACTACTGCCAATCTAGAAGTGATTAATGAGTGCAAATGTGGAGAGGGTGCTGGTTATGATAGGGGCTGTGTCATGCTCCTATTAGTGAAGAGCTGCTGCATAATTATTTACACACAGATATGCAGAAGCGGGAGGTGGAAGGAGAACGTTGAAAGTTTGTGTCGATAGAGGGGAATACTGATCAAGAAAAGCTATTTTGTGAGAGTAGGCAAGATATAGTATTGGAAACAATGTTATTATTCAACTCCAAGTAAGACTGTCTTTTTCTTGTTCTAATATTTTAAGAATAGCTGTCTAGAAAATCATTTGTGAAAAAGATATACATTTGTTACTGATTGTTTGTTGTTATACTTAAAGAACGAAAATACACCCATCTGCAAAATTTAATCTGGTTGACTCTTGGGTATGTGACAGTACACATCATTTATCATATTTAAAAAATCTTCCTGTCTGATAACTAAATAAAATTTATACCTTATTTTTGTGTTGTTTACTAAATATTACAAATACAAACCATTACATCTGATATATCCTGTTATGTGATTATAACAAATTCAATGTAACGTAACATGGTAAAATTTATAAGGTATCGTATTTAGCATAAAAAACCTTTTATTTTGTAAATTCTAATATAAATATCTGCATTTGCACTCAATCATTAATAATGAAGCTTTTCTAGTTGGTAACAATCAAGAAGGCTCCTTACCTGTACATTGACTATGAGTACAAAATTCTTCACCTCCTTTTCCACTTTTTCTTGAAGGAGGGTCGAGACTAGCCTACATAAAAGAGAATAAATATATGCTAAATACAATTATCATGTATAGCAAAGAGTCTAAGAATGACTGAAAATGCTTACATGTAATTTGCAAATCTGTTTATTTGTTTATTACGGATTTCGTGCAAAGCTATATAAGGGCTATCTGCACTAGCCATCCCTAATTTAGCAGAGTAACACTAGAGGGAAGGCAGCTACTCATCACCACCCACCACCAACTCTTGGGCTACTCTTTTACCAACGAATAGTGGGATTGACCGTCACATTATAATGCCCCCATGGTTGAAAGGGCAAGCATGTTTGGTGTGACGGAGATTCGAACTCACGACCCTCAGATTGTGAATCAAGCTCCCTAACTACATGGCTATGCCGGGCCTTGTGCAAGTCTATTTACTCACTATTACCTTTTGTTCTTAAACTTTACTTACCACATTCCTAAGCTTTAGTTAACTTAGTTCATAAAGGCAGTCATTTAATGAACAAGGTTTTAATATTGTTCTTTATCAAGTAAATAACTATAATTCTTCTAATATTCCCTAAGCGTATGATATAGATTATCATGTCTTTAAAAGTAGCATTAGGCTTACAAAGTCTTAATATTTCAAATAAAGTTTCTGATTTGATGAAATAATGTAGCTTTTCATTTAGGTCTAATATAATAATCTAAGATTTAATATCCCACTAGAAATAAGCTTATAACAGCCTCTTAGGATATGTTGAACACAGGTTTATGGATACTATAATATATTCAACAGTCTTTAAACATAAATATTGTAAACCTATAATATCACATAAAATGCAACAAGTGGGAATTGATTTATAATACAACATCATTTGGAATACTATAATAATCTGTTGAAATAATGCTTTAAGTTAACCAATATTATTATTCAATACAAATTTAAATAATATTACAAAAATAAGTTATATTTTTGGAAACATTAATTTATTGCTCTCTTTCTAAGATTCTCCTTAACATAATTAACTATTTTACTTGCTATCATTGATTAAACTTATGCATATACTACATATCAAGCTGAGATCAGTATTGTTACCATACATTAATTAAAGTCAAGAAAGGTTTACTACATATTTAAGAACATAAAACCAGAATTATATACTGAATATTTCATAACTGCTACATTTATAATTTTCCTGCAAAGCTATACAAGAGCTCTCTACACAACGACTTCACTAATTTCAATTGCTAGAAAAAATGCAGCTAGTCAACAGCACTCTTGTCTGATCAGCTAATGGTATTTTACTGCAGCTCTTACAGTGCACAATGTTTTAGTCAGATTCTGAAGATGGGTACAATATTACTGCCAAGAAATTAAAATTTATTGCTTAAATTGAAAAACGTTTTCATGTGAATCTTGATTTTTTAAATACAAATCTGTTTAAAAGGTTATTTACATGAAAATGAAAGATAAATAAAAAATGTAGAATGCTAATGAATAATTAAAAATAATGGTTGTGCAAATGCTAGTAAGTTATGTAGGACTGTTATCACTGGTGGATGTATTTTTATGAACTTTACAGTGCACACTAATTCTGTACATAGCTTGATATAATACTAGGCAGGCATTTCAAAACATATATACACAACATAATTTAAAATATAAAAAGTATAATGAAATTAACAAAAAGTAAATAAAAAACAACAGCAGCAGCTTTAATTTAAAACTGCTAACACTAGCTTTAGTTACGCTATATGGATTCACCAGTCAGTGGCGTGCAGAGGTTCTATTATGCCCGGGGCCTTGTAGCTAAGATCTTGGGGAAGGGCAGAAAGGGTTCTACTATTCGATTCGACTCTTTGCGTTGGATGCCCAGGGCCCCGGCACCTCCCCCCCCCCCCCCGAGACACTGACACATTTTGTTCAACATTATTTCTGAGGTTAGTTTAAAAAATGACAGCAAGATCAAAAGTCATAGGGTCATGTCATTAGCTGAAGGCACATATAAAATGAAGCAGATACATTAGATGCAAAAAAATAGGTTAAGTTGGGTAATCAAAAAACAACATTTTTTTCTTACCCATAGTACAGATAGAGAGAATCACTAATCTATAACAAACTCTGTCTCTTATATACCTTGGTACACTATAATAACCCTGTTTCTTAGATCCCTGATGTGCTACTATGACCCTCCCCTTCAGATATCTGAGTGTGCTACAATAATACAGACCCACCCACCCTTCAAGATACCTTGGAATGCTACAATATCCATGCCATTTATATACCTTGGTACACTTTTCTTTATATGTTATATGCAAACATAAAGTATATTTTTTTCACTGCAATCAGTATGATCATCTTAATACTTTAACTTACCTTTGTTAGATATGGGGGTTCCCCATGTTTTACACTAAATGTTTTAAATTCTTCTGTTTCTTCAATATTTTCTCTTTCTTCAGGTAACCGAAAAGTTGCATAGGGAGCTATTTCTTCTTCAAAGACTGTAAGAAAAAGAATACATGCACATACATTATAGCTTTACAGCAACAAAGGTAAAAACCAATATGAATTACAATATGATCTCTTCAAAATAGATATGACATACAACAATACTGTTTGTCTGTTAAATTTTGTGCAAAGTTACTTGAGGGCTATCTGTGATAGTGAAATGTGACTATCATTCTTATCATGGTGCAGTCATGGCCCCAAAGTGCAGAGCAAGATTTTTATTTTTTTGAAGTAACGGGCATGATCCATGGATATAAAGTTCGGCACACTAACCACTGGGCCTTGCTCAGTCCTCAAAGTACTGGTTTTCATACAAAAAGTGCTACACTAAAACCTGTAATTATCTAGTAAGTGAGTTATAATTATAACCTATAATTATTCAGCATATAAATTTTAATCTTTTTTTTACCTTGTTCGATAAACTTAGTATTGTTGGGATAAACTGCTTATTACATTTAACATTTTGACATCAGGACAAAAATAAAAATTTAAACGTTTTCTTGGGAATGTTCATATCATCATTCCCTATAGGGAGAAGTAAGTATTATGTTTTTACTCACCCATTATGTTGTAACAATAATTTTTAGTCAGTTGCTTTTCTGAGTCTATCTCTAATCACTGAAACTCATGTTAGTAAAAATTGTATTAAACATGTTTCAAGAAATGATTATAAGAAATGAACAAAACAACTGCCATATCTGACTTTTATACATTAAAATGTCTGTAAATAATTTTTTGAATGAAACGAAAAGAAACATGTAATTGCAAATTGGTCTAAAATATAGAGCTATGAATTAGAATTAACAAGTTGATGTAAAAGGAAATACTGTGATTGAAGATTTAGGGATCAATATCGTCATGAGACAATGCAATCACAAACCACTGCAATGTTTGTAGTAGCTTCCTGGTATCATTTCACATGCCAGTCCAAACTCGAAGGGACAAAATGGGAGACAAACCATATGTAATTAAAGCTTACAGTTTGTTAGTTATTCAAAACCAGAAACAGTTTGAACTGGACAACCATCACAGAAAGCTCTACTGCATGATATATTTATTCAAGTATTAATACTAACTGAAAAACTGAAAACTAAATTATGAAATATCTTTTTTTTAGCCTTGAAAGACACCCATTATACCTACAGACTTACAATGGCTAGTTGAGGGAGTATTGTTGACTTGCTTGGCCTGAGAAACATTGTTTGAAGGAGTGACTTTTCGTACAGGAGAAGAAAAATATGGCTGGTGTTCTCGACTGTGGCTATGGTGACTTGCTTCTGAGCGCTGAGACTTTTTCTCTGTATGAGACATCAGAGCTGTAGTGGTTGCTAAGTCATTCCTTGAAGATGACTCTTGGGAAGGAAGAAAATAGTTAGAATATAATTATACCACCAGATGACCAATCTTGATATTCTACGATTCTGAAGACATTACAAGTACATCATAGTGTGATATGTTCCTCAGCATTAAAATATGCAAATTAGAAATAAATATTGTATGTTTCACAATAAAACTAACTTAAATATAGTATTCAAAAGTAAATACTGTTAAAACTGATATTTAAAAACTATCTTTTTATGAGATATAATGATGTAATACCATATCAGTTCAACAAAATTCTGTTCCGAAAGAAAGCTGCCAACCGAGACACTGAACCAGTAGAAGAAATAGTCTTATTGTCTGTGCAAGAATATACATTCTGTCATTGTTTAAATAGTGTAATAAAGATTGTACTCATTTTCTTCAAACATTTCTAGTTTCTTTCTTTGCTCAAAACAGAGTTAAAACTCAGTCAAGCCTTTCAAATTCAAATTACTTGCAAATTTCCCGATCGACACTGTTATCATGAGTGGATCTAAGAAATCATTCTCACCTGAAAATACTATATCTATAAATTCAAACAAATTTGGTCTGTTTCTTATTTTTGAATTCTACTTCATGATTTTGTAAAACAATTCAAGAAATGTATCTCAATGATAATTTATTAATAGCTCATTAGCTCTGGTAACTTAACCAGTTGACTAAAATGTTTCATTGTAGTACCACATTAAAAACTTTATAGAAAGAAAATGTCTAAATATATTTCAGATATTTTGCCCTAAAATATAAAAAATATTGTAGCTTATATATAATACAATGTCGATTTAAATTTGTCAGTAAAGTTTGAAAAATCTTATTTTTACAACTTCTTTTTTCTACGTATATGAACTGTAATTTGTAAATTCCCTGTGGTCCCTAATCTTCAGATTTTGTATGCTAGAAAAGCCTTACATTGCAAAGCGAATATTTTTGGATTTTGGAATCTAAGTAGAAGGTGAGACATTAATTTTTTCTTTCAATCTCGATCACACTGAGTATGTTGTACAGCCTTTTCCACATATAACTAGCTATAAATTTCTGGAAAATGAAACGGAAACTGTCATTTTACTTCTCATGCAATTGGAAGAAGCTTTGGTGTGACCTGATTGATTTAAAAAATAAAAGAATTATGACACTAATTACAGGCTTCAGAATATTTTTATGGTGTGTACTAGTCTATGTTTAATACCTGACACTTCATTAGTGCTGTATTATGTATAATTGAATTCTCTATTTATTTTCACAAATGACTCGGTGCTTAGAGCTTACTTGGGAGTTATGTTCTTGCTAAGCCTAATATTTTTGATTTCACAGCAAGTATGTATATCAAACTTGATGGAGTTTAAATTTTTTTGTGGCTTATGTATTGTTCAAACAGGCAAAATAAAATATGTAAAGAAATAATTTTATGAATATAAAATATGTTCAAACTGTTTGAATATGTAAAATAAAACATTCTGAGCAACAACAGAAAGAACTTTTGGTTTTACTAATTTGTTTATAAAACCTAAACAGTTTTTGTTGCTGTATGCCAGAGATTTATGTAGAGTTCGTGTTAGATATTACTGCAAAACTACCACAAGGGCTACCTGTGTTAGCCATCCTAATTTTGAACTGATGCTGATAGACTAGAGGGGGGGAACCTCTCGGTAGCTCAGCAGTAAGACTGGGAGTTTATAATGCTAAAAACTGACTTTCAGTAATAGTGGTGGGCACAGCACAGATAGCCTATTGTGTAGCTTTGTGTTTAATAACAAACAAACAAGAGGGAAAGCAAATAGTCAACAGCATTTACTGGCCAATAATTGACAACTATAATCAAACAGTAGGATTTGATTATTACTCTTATACTGTATCCATGGCAATAGGGTGTGAACCAAATGGTGCTCAAATCCATGGTCCAGCTCCTAATCACTAGGTCATGCCCAGCTCATTTATATACATAAATGTAATTAAAGTTACATATCATGTTATTTTAATAAAATATATACAAAAGTTGTAGTTTTATCAACTAAAATAATATATAAGATGTAGATTGCTTTAAATGTAGAGTAAAAAATACAGAAAGTACAGAGTTATTTTTTTGACATAAAAACACTGTTTTCTGGAAATATTTAAAAAATTCAAAGAACCAAAAATTTAATAAATATTAGACCAAAAATTCTGATATTTTTATCATTTGTAGTCTTTAACTATCTACAAAACTGTTGGCAAGTTTAATGTAGATTTATAATTCTGAAGAAATAATTTGATTCAACCACAACAGAAGGGGACAAAACATCCATTATTTAAAGTTACACATGATTTTTTGAATTCTAATTGTTCCATGATGCAAATTTTCAATCTCCATTACTTTTAAAAATCTTACAAGCATATTTAATTTATGAAATGTTTATTCATGACTGCCATGCTATATTTGATAAATATATGTAAATTTCAACAAGTTTATAAATAAAAATATTAAACACTAATGTTTCAAAATTACAATATTTTAAAATTATCATGAAACATAAAAAAACAACCTGTAGCCTGAGCTCTATTGGATCTGTAACGATGGCGGTTGTCGTTACTTCGCCGACGCTTGTACGTCACAAGGCACACCACTGCAACAACACCAGCAATCAGCACCACAACAGATGAAACCATAGATACTAATGTAGTGGTATCCTGGAAAAATGATGTAGAGGAGGAAACATGACCTGGGTTACTGGAATCTGGTGGAAATGCTAAAAGACAAAAAATATTTCCTATTAATATTTATAAAAACTTAAAATAAAAAAACTTTATAATATTGTCCAAAGAAAACAAGAATAAAACACCCAAGTCAAAAATGGATAATAAAACAGAAAAAAAGCTTCATCTATGGGATATGAATTAAAAATATTTTCATATTATCATTTTTGGATAAAGCTTCAAAGTTAAAGTAAATTCAAAAACACATTAACCCTATGTGTACAGGTGCAGGTCAAATTGTGCATGTCAAGACATTTTACAGAATACATTTAAAACGTAAACAATTTAATGATCAATTTACATCAATAAACTTGGCATCAAAACATAGTTAATAACTTAACTTTTAATATTCTGCAAGTTTTAATTTTTTGATTTCAAAAGAAAATATTCAATGAATTCTCAATCTTCCCTTCTATGTATTACGACACTTGTTTGGTCTGAAATGCCCACTTAACCATTCTTTCCACACCTATTTGAGCTTCTGAATTTGATACAAACTTGTGCTACAGTTATTGATGAGACAGTTTAATTTTATAGCCTCCAATCATCTTGATGTATAGATATAAACCAACTTGCCACACCTACTGTCTTTCAAAAAATGTCAGTGACTTTTTCTGATGTTTACTATTACATTATTTATAACCAATAGAAAATAAAGTTTAATTTACTGAATTAAGTACAATGCTAGCTTGTTCTGATAATAGTGTTTGAATAATTTGGCCACTGAATCAAAGTTGCTATACCCTAGTTCACCTCAAACATGGCAAGGAAATTATTTCAAAAACTTATACTTTAGTGAGACAGCTAGTTACATTATAATAGTTATAAGCCATTACATTTTTTGTACATGTTACTGTTTTGTTTGAAACTGATTATTTGAAATAAATAAAAATTCAATAATGCAATAACAACAACCATACCAAATATTAGGGGTAACTTTTATTGAGACTTCAAGACTTTGAACAGGGATCAAAATATTACATTCCCACATTCCTGAGGAATATAACTTTGCCTAAGGAATTTCATCTATTTAGTTGGCTTTCCCAATTGGGAATGCATGGTCCATCCATATTTCTTTGTTATGACCAATGAATATGAACATATTTCATGGATTAAATAAAAAACAATTCATGAGGAAATACAACTTTACATGAGGAAATGTAATCTTCCCTCGAGTGAATATAATTTTATTTCATTACTTCTATCCTTGTTGAGTTCACAAAAAAAAGACCCATAAGTAAGTACAAATTTATTGTTGTTATGCAATTTTTTATTCATTGTTATAAAAGTAACCAAAACGTCAAAATCAAAATTTGTTATGTTAGATAAGAAAACATAAATCAAAAAAGAAAATTAAATAAAAAATTTATCAGACAGTTATGCATGTGAGCTGCATGTTCATTACCTAATTCAATATTTTCTTTATTATAACTTAAGCTATGTGCTTGCCAGGGGATTTCTCATTTTGTTTTGTAGGTTTAGTAGTTAAACATGGTTCAAAGAGAAATAAAATAATAAAATTAAATGAAAACAGACGTGAACTGTTATGATCTTGAAGATGTTTAAGATAAATAATAGTAACGTTCTATTACAATATGGAGTCACTCTAGAAAAAACAAAACAGGTAAGTTAGAATTATATCATGTTTTTTTTGTAGTGGTTACAAGGTCTGTCAAATGGACTGTAAAAAGTTTTACTGAAAAAATTTTTGATACTCATTTATGAAGTGCTACGGGTTATGTAAATAAATATGAAAACTGTAAGATTTAAAAAAAGTATTTTTTAACCTTAATGTAAAAATTATCTTGCACTTAGACTAGTCAGAGTCAGACTGACTAAAGTAAATTCAGAGACAAATACTTAGCAAAAATACTTTATTGAAATTTCTTATTTTTTGTACAACAAAATTGTAATGCTTACTAAAAATGTACCAAATTTCATGAAGATACATGAAGTAAATTCAAAATTGTACAACTTATAGAAAACATTAATTCTCCCATACAGTCCAATAGACTGACCCAGTGCATGTTTGTTTGTTGAATTTTGTACAAAGCTACTCAAGGGATATCAGTGCTAGCCATCTCTAATTTTGGAGCAATACATTAAAAGTGGCCTTTGTTTTCATATTATAATGCCCCTACATCTGAAAGAGCAAGCATTTTTGTTGACCCTGCAACCTGTAGATAACAAGCTAGGTACCCTAACCATCAGTCTATGCTAGGCTTACCTTGTTCACAGAGGGCTAATGTTCACAAACAATTAAAGTCCAGTTAGGCTTACACACAAAGATGAGGATTTTTCACATATTCCTTTGGGTTTAAGCTAAAGGGTGATGAGTATTTCTTGATGTGTAGTTTTTGTTCACTGATGGCTCTACTAAGAATTTGGAAACGTTCCATCAAAATCAGTAAGTCACTCTTTCCATGTATAAAATGTGAAGTAGAAGTGCATTGTGTTGCTTAGACTTTTTTGGCATGTTCGAAATACTGCCTTTAAAATTGTCAAGTGGTACTTCCAACGTACCCATATATAGACAATTAATGATAAATGCATATATTGGATATTTTGTCCTTGAATGTGAACAAACTTTTAAGTCTTCAGTGATTTCTAAACACAGTACTGTGACTTAATGACATTCTTTAGTTTCAAATACCAAGCTTTTCAACTTATAACACAAAATATATGAAAGTGATATAACAAAGTTATACAGTTGGAGCTAAAGATTGTTGTTTAAGACAGACTACTAAGGTTTTAATGGTTTTATTTGTTCTTATCAATGAAATGTTCAGGAGTAGTATTACAGTGATATAACAAAGTTATACAGTTGGAGCTAAAGATTGTTGTTTAAGACAGACTACTAAGGTTTTATTTGTTCTTATCAATGAAATGTTCAGGAGTAGTATTACAGTGATATAACAAAGTTATACAGTTGGAGCTAAAGATTGTTGTTTAAGACAGACTACTAAGGTTTTATTTGTTCTTATCAATGAAATGTTCAGGATAAGCATTTTCACTTAGTGTACTTGTGATACTTGATAGTTTTTCATGAATTAGTTTATAAGCTCTAATTACAAGCTAAATATAATTTCAAATAATCAAGAACAAAGTTTATAAAGTTAGAATATAAACTAGCGAAGGTTTTTTGTGATAATATTCAACATTAAAACTAAAATTCCCATGGTTCACCTATTAAAATGGAATATTTTCAAATTCCCAACAAGACCACCAGTGAAAAAGAACAATACATACAGAATATACTCATGATCTCTGAGCTTAGACTATGTGAAAAAAATCTTTTGGTGTTTCAGAATAACTGAGCTTTGTCCATTATATTTGCAAAAACAAACAATGTAGCAGATAAGTTATTCTTTGGACATTGATATGTTTTTGAATTCACTTTGTTTTAAACTTCCAAGCTTCTCCTGAAAATGAAATAGCAAAAATGCCATAATTTTATATGGTTTATCTTTATTACTCATTATTTGTAATTGTTTTATTGCATCTATATAAAAAACAAAGTTGTAAATATAAAGTATGCAACATACGATCTACCAATACAAACAAAAACAACTTTAATCTTTTAATTACAAAAATATACATTCTAGGCTTTACAGAAAATAGACTTAGGGAAAGAAATACACTATAAATTAGAAAGAGATAAATATCAGAAGTATAACACACACATGATCAGGAAACAAACATCACACACATTCAGTGATCTTACAATTATATACAAAGCTAGACTTTACAAAGTTTCTACAAATACTGCTAACAGAAATTTAATTGCAGTACAAAATGTAATGACTAGAACCAGCTATAACTTAAAAGTGTGTTTATAAAAACAGATGTGTTGCTTCATGAAGCATTTAGCATCAGGTTTATGATTACCCCTTCATACGATGCAATATTTTAAGGTTATTACAAGTTTGTATAGGTCATAAGATAGTTAAAAACTGCATTCTTAAAGTTCTTGATTTAGTTAAATAGCCTTATATATATCTTTCACTGGAGAAGATACAAGTAAGAAAATCTCTCAAAGTAGACTGGTCTATTTGGAATACAATACCATGAGACACTCTTGAAATTGTCAGTTTATATCAAAGGTTCCTATTATGCAATGAGTATTTCATCATTACAGGTAAAAATGTGAGAGGAGGAATATTTGTAGTTTAACTTATAAAAAAAGCCAAAATTACTGATGGATCATTGAATCAATAAGCAAGCATATAGATTATGGGTAGGTCATGAATAAATAAAATATACAACTGATTTTACCTTTATTGAAGAACTTTACATGCCTCAAAATGTGTTTATTGATTCAGCAAAAGAGCACATACTGGTATTGTATATATCACATGGTTACAATACCATTATGTTTATACACACAAGTTAGGTTGAAGTGTAAGGAATAACAAATAATTGTAATTATCATCTCCTTTTACTTTATATAGTTTTTATCATTTTCTTTTATATATGGTAAATGTATTTTTTTCTAAATTTTGCTACATTAGTACACCAATTATTAATACCAAAATCAACTTGCAGAATACTAAGGGTTTTTTTCTTTGATCACTTTGAATTTGAGCCTTAACTTATTTGCTCTTCTGTAAGTTTTAAAGTATAGAGTATTTGAAGAGAGGTTGCTTAAAGCTCCATCACTATCCCAGGATTTCGATCCTCTGCTCAAACACTGAATTAAACAATTACATCACAAACTACTGTTGATAATGAATGTTTTAATTACTCAAACCCTTGGAAATTTTACATCACTGTAAAGCCTTACCAGTAAACTGCCTTTGGGTCTTGATATTATACTCTGTTTTCACCAAACCATCATCAGTATGAGCCATGATTCGGATGACATACCATGTTTCTGAGTTAAGATCAGGTATAACCACATGATTTTGGTGCATTGGAGCCACTTTGTCCAGAAAAGGTGTCCAGTGATCTTGATTTTGGAGGCGATAATCTATGACCATTCGGGTCACTGGACAACTTTTAGGTTTTTCCCAAGCAGACAAATGTATGAGTATGTGGGTAGCATTAGCACTTAGCAGCTCTTCTTTAGTGGGTGTGGAAGGTGCTAAAAAAAAGCTACAGCTTAATATTTTAAAAAGTTTAATCTGAACTATCAACAACTAAAAATATACATATTCAGGTATATTGACATTTATCAAAACAAAAATATTATCGATAACACCAAAGAAATGTTCAAAGCAAAAAAAATTATTTTAATCTTTCAAGAAAACACTAGTTTCTAACTGGAACATGTGCATTGTATTCTCTCTCTCTAGAGTTAGAAAACTTGATCTGCACTTAATTAATGAGATAAAGAAAAGAGCTCAGATGAATCTTGCTACTTTCTCTAAGAAGAGAACTACTTATTTTTTACAAAATAACTTATAATTGTCTTCCTTTAGTTTATCCTTTCAAATAAGCTTTTTTTAAAAATGATTGAAGTAAAGAACCAAAGTATTACAGAATGATAAAGTTATCACAGTTATCCTTTCATTATCACAGTGTCTTTCATATGGTTAACTGGTTAAATATTACTAGCCTTATTGACTTCTGCACATTTTTCATTCTTTCACAAATCATGCTAGGTTCATAATACCCTTCAATACTACTACTGCTGTGATTTACTTAATTTGCCCTATCACTAGCAACAGCACACTGCTTGGATGGCTTTAGAGACTGATTGACTATTACACCAAGATCCCTTTTCTTCAAACACTATGAAGGTTATTCCCATCCAAACTATACTTATAATTCAAATTATAATAACCCACGGGCATTATCTTACATTTATTATAATTAAAACTAATCTGCCATTTATTTGCCCAACTCACTAAATAATCTAAATCCTTTTGTGAATCAGCAGCATCCTCTTCACAGCTAGCAACACCCAAGACTTTAATATCATCTAAAAATTTAAGTAATTTATTGACTATTCCTTCATCTACGTCATTGATATAAATAAAAAAGAACAAAGGTCCTAAGACTGAGCCCTGAGGTACCCCACTTTTGACCCTAATCCAGTTTGATAGAACTCCATTCATAACAACCCTCTGTTTTCTTCCATCCAACCACTTTTCTATTATCCACACGTATAGAGATTATATATTAACAAGCTTTTTGTGTGGAACCTTGTCAAATGCTTTCTGAAAATCCAGATAAAACAAATTCACAATCTTACTCTCATCTAGCAGTAATGTCTTCAAAGAATGTCAATAGATCAGCAAGTCAAAATCTTACCACTGTGAAACTATGGTGACTATCTAATAAAATTTTAAACTTGTTAAACGACTTTGCAAAGCATCTTTCATATGACTTTCAAAAACTTTTCCTATCATTGATGTGAAACTAATAAGCCTATAATTACCAAGAAAATTTTCATCACCTCCCTTGAAAAGAGGAGTAACATTAGCAGACTTCCAATCCTCTGACACCTGCCCACTATTAAAGGACTTACAAAGAAAAATGGTAAGTGGCTTACATATCCAATCCTTAACCTTCTTCAAAGCCTCTATGATAATATTAACTGGCCAAGCTAGGTGCCTTATCATTATTTAAACTTCCCAATTTGTTCTTAACAAGCTCAGAATTGATGTTACCATTTTGTTCAATCTTGTTTCCATCTAGCAATTGTTCAGGATGAGGAATATTGCTTAAATCTTCATTACTAAAATGGAAGAAAAGATAGAATTTAATAACCTCACCATCTTATAATTATCAGAAATAAGCCTTCCTGTATCATCCCTCAAAGACCCTACTCCCATCCTAACATTTTGCTTACCCTTAATGTATTTAATGAAATCCCTACTGTTAATTTGTACAAATTCAGCCAACCTTTTTTCATATCTCCTTTTTGATTTCCTAATTCCCTGTCTGACCAACTATAATTCTCTAAATCTCAAGTTTATAATGTTTATCTTTTAATTATAACTCCTATACCAATTGTGAGCCAATCAGGATTTTTACTTGTAGCTACTTCATTTTTTTGATATTTTTGCTATCTACTTTGTCTCTCTTGAGTATTTAAAAATTAAATGTTTGATATTTTGCAAATTTGATCAATGTCTCCAGTTAATTCAGTTGCCCAATTCATAACAGATAATTCTTGTTGCATCCCTTCAGAATTTGCTTTTCTTTGTAATTTGTAACCAAAATCTCATTATTCCTGATCTCCATATGCAGTAAAATATATAATCTAATAGACCAATAATCACTTACACCCAGATGTTCCCTAGTCTTCACCCTCTCAAACATTTCTCTATATCAGAAGTTAATAAATATAAAACAATATTGTTACTAGTAGGTTTCCTGACAAATTGGTGAAGAAAAACCTCCTGAATGGTTTCTAAAAGCCTGTCTTCCTCATGGCTTGACTAAAATTTCCCAATCTATATGTCTGAAATTAAAATACCCATAACTATGAACTCATTACCAGCTGAAATCTTAATATTACTGTAGAGTTTCTCATGAATCCCATCAGTTTCATCTTGTTGTCTGTAAGAAATTTTAGTTAAATGTCTTCTTCCTCTTCATTTCCTAAAAGAAACCCAAACAGATTCATCTCCTTGCTATTATATTTGATATCCTCAACTTCAACAGGAAGTAATCCACAGTCTACATATAAGGCCATTCCTCCCCTCTTTTGTACTCTATAGTCTATACCCAGTAAACAATTAATAATGTTGTATTTCAAAGAAATTCCCTTCATTAAGATTGTTTACATTTAAACATGTTTCAGTTATTCCCTTTCTATTGAATTTTGTCCTGGAAAAATAAACACATAATATGCAGTGATATGAAGCCTGATATATCCTATTATAAGAAGACAGTTTATGTTTTCAAAACTCACATTACTGAATTTAGAAAAGTAGCATAGTACCATCAAATTCTGTGCCAGTTTAGTTTCTGAAACAACCTTCCATCCATCTGGCTAGCTCACAAACTACACTTTATATGAAAATACAAAAGTGGCACTCACCTGTCCCTTTTGTTCTGAACAGAACCTGTTCACTACGTTTCTGGTTTTCTTCAACAAAAGCAATTAAATATAGCTCATAATTAGTCCCACACCGGAGATCTTCAAGAAAGAAATGTTTTGCTCTTCTATCTAAATGGTGCTGTTTCCATTGTCCGCCTTCAGGCATATAATGGACACTAAACTCTAAAACAAAATGAACAGAAAAGGAACTATGCTTTTCAAATATATTTTGGTTTAAAAAGTATTTGGTCCATCTTTACATCTATAGTAAGAGGCAAAATAATAAAATTTGAGGGAAAATGCAATTTTTACTCCAGGTTGTGAGGAAGAGAATGAATATCCAGGGGCAAGTTAATATTTTCCTTACATGAATATGTACACTATCTTACCAAAAGTCATGGTACATGAGTAGTTATGAATAAAACAAGAAATTATTACCGTGTTGGCTCACCTTTGACCTTAATGACAGCTTCAATGTATCTTGGAAGACTTTCTACTAATTTCTGGTAGAAAGTTGGTGGAATTGTGCTACATACCTCCTTTAAAGCATTAGTAAGCTTCATTACTGACGAGAGCCATCTTGGTCATGCCCTAATTCTGCATTCCAGTTCATCCCAAAGATGTTCTATCGGGCTGAGGTCAGGGCTCTGTGCTGGCCACTGCAATGTTCCGATGTTATTCTCTTCAAACTATGTGTTCACAATCCTTGCTTTGTGACATGGAGCATTATCATGTCAGAAGATGTAAGGGCCAGTAACATGAAATTGCCACAATGTAGGACACATAGAATTGTTTAGAACATTAATGTAGGACTCAGCGTTCATGGATCCATGCAGTGTGACCAGTGGACCTAGTCCATATACGAGAAGCACCCCCAGACCATGATACCACCACCTCCAAATTTCACTGTTGGGACAACACACTCAGGCAATAAGTGTTTCCCAGGCATCCTCCATATCCAAACACGTCCATCAGACTGGAAGAGCATATGGCGTGACTATTGCTCCACAGCACTGATTTCCATTGAACCACGGTCCAGGTTTGGTGTTGCTTTGCTTCATGCCAGTCGATGGTGTGCATTTGTTTTTGTTATCAATGGT